GATGCCGTGCTCCTTCCTTTAGTGGATGTGACCTGACTAGGTGGGTCATTGTTTAAGCCAGGGGGGGGGGTGACATGGACCTGCCTTGCATGGGCCAGTAGGCCTGGTGCAGTGTTCCTTCTTTATTGTATTCTTATGTATTTGGCCAGCTGGCTGCCTGGCTGGCTGGCTTTGGCTGTCTCTAGCTGGCCCTCTGTCTCTATCTCTCTCTATATATATCTCTGTCTATGCCTTTCTCTATTCACATAAGTACAGTTATTATACATAGTGTATATTACCTAGGATAACCCAAAAATTCCAGGCAAAGATAGACAGACAGACAAACATGTTTGTGTGTAACAGTGAAAACAAATAAAGCAGGGTTCGCTGAGTGCCCATTTATCAAGTGTCACTGGGCTGTCAACAGTATAGGGATGCTTTTCATAGCACCATGCTTCAAGGTATATTCCAGCTGTCTAAAATATTGCTGGGACCTATAAATACTTTGTATATATTTCTAGACAGTAGTAAATGACCCAGGCAGGTGAAAATGTTCACCTGAGAATGTGATTGTGACTATTTGAGTATTATTTCAGTAACTAATATTAGTGTCAGAACAAATATTGACTATGGAATTATAAGAACTATTATAAATTGTAATTTTTTTTTTGTTTTTTTTTTTTTTGTTCAACAAGTCAGCCGTCTCCCACCGAGGCAGGGTGACCCAAAGAGAAAGAAAATCCCCAAAAAGAAAATACTACTTTCATCATCATTCAACACTTTCACCTCACTCACACATAATCACTGTTTTTGCAGAGGTCCCCAGAATACAACAGCTTAGAAGTATATACGTATAAAAATACACAATATATCTCTCAAAACTGCCAATATCCCAAACCTTTCCTTTAGAGTGCAGGCATTGTACTTCCCATTTCCAGGACTCAAGTCCGGTTATATAAATAAAATAACCGGTTTCCCTGAATCCCTTCACTAAATATTACCCTGCTCACACTCCAACAGATCGTCAGGTCCCAAATACCATTTGTCTCCATTCACTCCTATCTAACATGCTCATGCACACTTGCTGGAAGTCCAAACTCCTCACCCACAACACCTCCTTTACCCCCTCCCTCCAACCTTTTCGAGGACGACCCCTATCCCGCCTTCCTTCCCCTACAGATTTATACGCTCTCCATGTCATTCTACTTTGATCCATTCTCTATAAATGACCAAACCACCTCAACAAACCCTCTTCAGCCCTCTGACTAACACTTATATTAACTCCACACCTTCTCCTAATTTCCACACTCCGAATTTTCTGCATAATATTTACACTACACATTGCCCTTAGACAGGACATCTCCACTGCCTCCAACTGCCTCCTCGCTGCAGCATTTACAACCCAAGCTTCCCACCCATATAAGAGTGTTGGTACTACTATACTTTCATTTATTTCCTTTTTTGCCTCCATAGATAACATTTTTTGCCTCCACATATACCTCAATGCACCACTCACCTTTTTTCCTTCATCAATTCTTTGATTAACCTCATCCTTCATAAATCCATCTGCTGACACGTCAGCTCCCAAATATCTGAAAACATTCACTTCTTCCATACTCCTCCCCAATTTGATATCCAATTTTTCTTTATCTAAATCATTTGATACTCTCATCACCTTACTCTTTTCTATGTTCACTTTCAACTTTCTACCATTACACACATTCCCAAATTCGTCCACTAACCTTTGCAATTTTTCTTTAGAATCTCCCATAAGCACAGTATCATCAGCAAAAAGTAACTGTGTCACTTCCCATTTTGTATTTAATTCCCCATAATTTAATCCCACCCCTCTCCCAAACACCCTAGCATTTGCTTCTTTTATAACCCCATCTATAAATATATTAAACAACCATGGTGACATTACACATCCCTGTCTAAGACCTACTTTTACTGGGAAGTAGTCTCCCTCTCTTTTACACACCCTAATCTGAGCCTCACTATCCTCATAAAAACTCTTTACAGCATTTAGTGACTTACCACCTATTCCATATACTTGCAACATCTGCCACATTGCTCCCCTATCCACTCTGTCATATGCCTTTTCTAAATCCATAAATGCAATAAAAACTTCCCTACCTTTAAATACTGCTCACATATGTGCTTCAATGTAAACACTTGATCTACACATCCCCTACCCACTCTAAAACCTCCTTGCTCATCCGCAATTCTACATTCTGTCTTGCCTCTAATTCTTTCAATAATAACCGTACCGTTAACTTTTCCTGGTATACTCGGTAAACTTATTCCTCTATAATTTTTACAGTCTCTTTTGTCCCCCTTCCCTTTATATAAAGGGACTATACACGCTCTCTGCCATTCCCTAGGTACCTTCCCCTCTTTCATACATTTTTTTTTTTTTTATCACACTGGCCAATTCCCACCAAGGCAGGGTGGCCCGAAAAAGAAAAACTTCATACATTTATTAAACAAAAATACCAACCACTCCAACACTGCCCCCCTCCCCCCCCCTGCTTTTAACATTTCTGTCATGATCCCGTCAGTTCCAGCTGCTTTACCCCCTTTCATTCTACGTAATGCCTCACGCACCTCCCCCACACTCACTTCCTGCTCTTCTTCACTCCTAAAAGATGATGTACCTCCCTGGCCAGTGCATGAAATTACTGCCTCCCTTTCTTCGTTGACATTTAAAAGTTCCTCAAAATATTCTCGCCATCTACCCAAAACCTCACTACCCAAAACCATCCACTAACTCCCCTTCTCTGTTTTTAACTGATAAATCCATGTGTTCCCTAGGCTTTCTTGACTTGTTTAACTCCAAAATTTTTTCTTATTTTCATTAAAATTCCTTGACAGTACCTCTCCCACTCTATCATCCGCTCTCCTTTTGCACTCTCTCACCACTCTCTTCACCTTTCTTTTACTTTCCATATACTCTACTCTTCTTATAACACTTCTGCTTTGTAAATACCTCTCATAAGGTACCTTTTTCTCTCTTATCACACCCTTTACTCATCATTCCACCAATCACTCCTCTTTCCTCCTGCACCCACCCTCCTATAACCACAAACTTCTGCCCCACATTCTAATACTGCATTTTTAAAAATATTCCAACCCTCTTCAACCCCTCTCCCCCACTACTCATACTTGCACCAGTCCACCTTTCTGCCAGTTGTAATTATCAGAAGATGAAAATGAGGATAAAAGGTATATCAGCAACACTTCTGCAAGCGGCAGGAGTCGATGTTGCTGTCAGGTGAGCATCCAGCGCCAACTTCATGGGCTTATGTCTTGGTGAGAACTGACCCTAATTTTTTTTTTTTATCTTGTAACTTGTAGAAAAATGTGCTTTTCATTTAAAAAAAAAAAATTGTTTTTCAAAATATTCTGAGTGCTACGTGAGTGAATGTAGATCTATATTTGGACAGTTTAAGGGTTAAAGAGTGGTGTATATTAATAAACTATATTGGGCAATGAGAGTGATGTTATATTTTGTCATGTGCATGTATGGGACCACAATAAGTATTCCGAAAATTGCAAACTACATTTAAATCTGATAATAATGTAAACAGGCATATTGTATAATCAAAATGTATTGTGTCTGTTACAAATTTTAATTTGTTAACCAATTTAATTTTAACAGTTAATTCATGTGCAGATCAGTGGCATACACTTAACCCTTTCAGGGTCCAGAGACCAAATTTCAAAGGGTGCACCAGTGTCCAAGAATTTAAAAAAAAAAATTTTGTTATTATTCTTATGAAATGGTAGAGAATCTTTTTCTGAAGGTAATAAAACAAAAAGTATGAAATTTGATGGAAAATTGACGAAATTATGCTCTCGCGAATTTTGATGTATCAGTGATATTTACGAATCAACGATTTTGCTGACTTTGACTCCGATTTTAGGCCAATTACATTATTCCAGTCGACCAAATTCTTAGCTATTTCACTAGTATTACTTCTATTTTATCGATTGAGCACAAGAAATCGCCCAGTCAACTGTTTCAACTACAAAGTAAAGTGATCGGAAATAGGTAATTTGGCCAATTTAACACAAAGTTCAAAATATTCCAATTTCAAAATAGGGTCCAGAATAAACAATGCAGGCATTCCTGGCACTAAACTAACATTGCCTCTGTTCATTAATGTTTTCAGGCTTTACAAATGAATTCCATTTTGATTTTTTATTCACATAATGAATTTTTTTTCAAACCAAAAAATAGAATATTTACTGTTATGCAATATTGTAATTATTGTATAAATATCATCATCACATTTGTGAATGTATATTGGACCCACCAGCTGGCGTGTATTAGACGTGTGAGGTCGTTTGTTTACTCTTGAACATCGACAAAAATTTAACATTTTCGCTACTTTGAGCTCAGTTTCAAGCCATTTCCAGTACTAAAACCAATCAAAATCAACTCTACTTCTGTAATACATGTATATCTTCCATTCTATCAAATGAGACCAAGAAATCTCAAATACAACTATAAAAAACATACGAAAAAAGACTGCAAAGTCGGTTTTAATAAAAAATCACGGTTTCAGTTTTTTTCTCTCATTATGCACTGTGTGTTGCAGGATTTGTTTTATGTGGTGCACACATACCACACAGATGTATTCTCTTATATCTAGACCCAAATTTACCACTCACAGCTTATCAGAGTGAGCTGAGCTCATGGCGTAGATCTATGGTTTGGACCCTGAACATAAAGCTGTAGATCTACGGGACGGACCCTGAAAGGGTTAATTCAAGTGTAAGTCAGTAGTGACATACAGTACAGATGCTTGGCAATTAAATTATTTGTGGCAGTGAGATTAATGGAAGTCAGATCACACTTCTTCTGGATGATGGTTGGCTCATACAGTTCTCATTCCAGCTGAAAAGACCCTGTGACATGGAGCAATATCATTTATTCTTTGTCTTTTTTAATAACCATTTTATGTACTCTATGATGTAATTTGCATTGTAGTTTGGTTGATATTTATTGCTTCCAGGGAATAAAAAATAACGACCACTTCGGATTTATCTGTCGTGAGTTAAGTGGAGATGCTCCCTGCTATCTTGGCTATGTCTTTAAGTGTCAGATTTGCTCAATAACAGATGAAATTATGCAAGGTAAGCCTATCTTTTCACAACAGTAGCAAAAGATTATTAAAAAAAAAGAACGAGAGAGAGATTTTATATAGGTTTAAGTGTCAGATTTGCTCAATAACAGATGAAATTATGCAAGGTAAGCCTATCTTTTCACAACAGTAGCAAAAGATTATTAAAAAAAAAGAACGAGAGAGAGATTTTAAATAGGTATATATAGTAACTTGTCACATATTCTCTAATTACTTGTTCGTTATTTCATTTCTTGAATAATTATTTTCCCCTAATTGTTAAATACTTTTTTAGGTATTATGTATTAAACAATTAAAGAATAATTACTTTAACAAATATTGTTATTAGTTTGATCTAATTTTTAGTTAAATATGAGTCTGTAAGGGAAAGCATGAGCTCCAGCTCTGGGTTCCTCCTCTTATCTTTTATCTGATTTGCATTATTGAGCTCTATCATGTATATTTTTTTAATCCTTGTATGGAGTCATTGTCTACTGTGTCATTGTTATCATTAGTCTTCTTTACAATTTTTAATCCTTGTATGGAGTAATTGTCTACTGTGTCATTGTTATCATTCCTGTTCTTTACAAATTATTTTGAAAAATAGTTCTAATATTTTTCATGTTTGGGTGTGAAATATCAAATTGTGTCCTCTTGCTCTTGTTGTATTCCTGGTAAAGAGCCTATCTTTGTCTAGTTTGTCTTGTTCATGTTTTTTAGTATTATTTATTTTGTGATTATAGCCTTTCTTGTTCTGTCCTCCAGTGACAAGGCCTAGATTGCAGATTCTTTCTTCAATGTTCATTTTCCTCAGGTCAGCCACTACAGTGCTTCAATTCCTGCTTTGTATAGACAGTTTATCCTATAAATTTTTTATATTCCCATGAGCCCCCTTTCAACTATTAGTCATTATTTATGAAGAAAATATTCTTGTCTGCACTACTGCTTTATAATTTGAAAGTCTCTCTTGATCTCCCTATTGCTGGCACCAAGTGATTTTCCTCATCTTCTTTCTTGTATTAATATACTGTAACACCTGTCTTCAACAGGGCATTTCCATTGCTGTCAGTCTTTCTTGGCAATTCATAATTCCTAAATTTGGAATTTTTTTTGTTTTTGTTTGTAAGGCTGTTAAATGTTTTGATGTTCTAGTAAGTACAGATGGCTAATTCATTTTCTATAATATTTTTAAGACTCTTAATAAAAAATTAACTTCTTTGATATGTAAGATTTTTCAGATATAAATTTGAATTGCATATTATTCATAGAGGTCTTGGCAGTTTTTCTCTAATTCTAATGTTTTATCAGCATCCTCACCCATTTTTATAGTGCAAGCACTGCTTTTCATGTCTGGCTAACTGGTTTCCCTGAATACCTTCATAAATGTTATCTAGCTCACACTCCAACAGCATGTTCATTAAAAATCACTGGTCTCTATTCACTCATATATAACATGCTAATACAAACATGCTGGATGCTCATGTCCCTAAAATTCAATTATTACATTTTGTTTGCCATATACATTATCATCCTTCATGTAGGTCTCAGCAAAGCCTTCGCAGCTATTCATGAAGCACAAATTCGAGAACGTCAAGAAAATCTCCTATGTGATCAGTGCCCAATGAAATGGTTCAGTCATCTTTGTACAGAGGTTGAGGGTAAGTAAAGCAATAATATCCAGCAATACAAATTATGTAATTCTTACTAGTTGTAAGCAGATTATAAAAGCTAATCATGTCATTTACTTGCTTTTCATATTTTCATGTAGTAGTACCTTTGTCCTTAGAAAGGCACTTTGAGGAGTTGATCTTAGTAGACACTTCATAGTCACATTATCTTACTCCCATTTTTCCCACCACACTTTTCCTGTTCCCTTTCATACTCCTTTCACCTTGTTTCTTCATTCCTACCCCTTTCATCCTCCCCCCCCCCTCCCCATTAACCCAAGCTTATTCTTCTACACTACTGTTCCCTTCCACTCTTTTCTCTCCTTACTTCTAGACTACTCTTTTTTTCCATCCACTCATTTCTCTGCTCTTGCTCCACAATTTTTCCTCCTTATTACCTCCCTCCTTATTCTCTCACTTATTCTTTCCTTCTTATTCCTTTCCCACTCATATGCTTGCCTCACTTTACTATTTCTTTCTATTTTTTCTCACCTGCTGATGATTCTTCTCCTTCCTCCCATGTTTTCCTTCTATTCTTTTCTCTTCTTTCTTTTCACTAAATGTTTACTTACAGTAATTTTTTTTTCAACAAACTGGCTGTATCCCACCAAAACAGGGTGACCTAAAAAGAAAAATGATTTTTTTTTTAATTTAGTAATTTATTCAGGAGAAGGGGTTACTAGCCCCTTGCTCCTGGCTTTTCAGTTGCCTCTTACAACATGCATGACTTACAGAGGAAGAATTTTTTCCACTTCCCTGTGGAGATAAGAGGATTTAGAGAAGAATAAGAACTATTAATAAAGTAGAAGAAAACCCAGATGGGTGTGTAAATACAGTGGACCCCTGGTTTTTGGCCGTAATCCGTTCCTGAAGGTTAATGGAAATAAAATTAATTAGTTCCAAACAAAAATATTTGCAAAAAAATTATTTTTTTTTACAATTATGTAAGCATTACATACCTTTATTGAAGGCTAATGCTGGCTTCTGGAAGATAGGGAGGAGGAAAGAGGAAGGAGTTAGTGTTTGGAAGGGGAATCCCCCTCCATGAAGACTTTAGGTAGCAATGCCTTCTCTGGGGTTACTTCCCTTCTCTGTCTTTTTATGCCACTAGAACCAGCTTGAGAGTCACTGGAGCCCTGTCTCACAAAATAACTGTCCAGAGTGCTCTGTTTCTGGCATCTCTTTAAGATTTCCCTGAAGTGGGACAGGGTTTTGTCACAAAACATGTTGCAGATATGGCTTGTTTCAGCTTTGTCAGGGTTGTGTTTCTCTACAAAAGCTTGCAAACTGGTCCACATTGCACACACCTCTTTAATCTCTGAAGAAGGCACCTCCTTCACTCCCTCTTCCTCCTCCTCTGAAGCAAGTTCCTCAGCTGCAGTCTGTTGCTGTTCAAGTTGAAGCTCTTGCAGCTCTTCAGTAGTAAGCTCTTCCCTGTGGTCCTCTGCCAACTCTTCCACATCCTCACCACTCGCCTCCAACCCCAGGGACTTCCCCAAAGACACAATAGAGTCCACAGGGTCAGCAGGGTCAAGGTCATAGTGAGTCTCAAACCCTTCAAAATCTCTCTCTTGGACATAATCTGGCCACAGTTTTCTCCAAGCAGAGTTCAAAGTCCTGGAAGTCACTCCCTCCAAAGCCTTACCTATAAGGTTTATGGAGTTGTAGATGTTGAAGTGACTCCTCCGGAACACTCTTAGGATCAACTGAGTGTCCGAGGTCACTTCAAAGCACTTTTGAAACACTGCTTTTGTGTAGAGTTTTTTGAAGTTAGAAATGACCTGCTGGTCCATGGACTGGAGGAGAGGAGTGGTGTTAGGAGGCAAGAACTTCACTTTTATAAAACTGAAGTCCCTAAACACTTGGTCTTCCAAGTCTGGAGGATGTGCAGGAGCAGTGTCCAGTAATAGGAGGCACTTGAGTGGCAATTTCTTTTCCAGGAGGTATTTTTTCACACTTGGGCCAAACACATCATTAACCCACTCTTTGAAAATTTGCCTTGTGACCCATGCCTTATGATTAGCTTTCCACATCACACACAATTTATTCTTCATGACATTATTTGTCTTAAACACACTGGGATTTTCTGAGCGATACACAAGTAAAGGCTTCACTTTGAAATCCCCACTAGCATTACCACACAATAAAAGAGTAAGCCTGTCTTTTATAGGCTTGTGTCCTGGCAGTGCCTTTTCCTCCTGGGTAATGTAGGTCCTGTTTGGCATTTTCTTCCAAAACAAGCCTGTTTCATCACAATTGAAAACTTTTTGGGGTTTGAATCCTTCAGCCTTTACATAGTCCTGGAATTTGTGAGCATACTTTTCAGCCGCACATTTGTCAGAACTTGCAGCCTCACCATGCCTTACAACATTGTGTATGCCACTACACCTCTTAAATCTATCAAACCATCCTTTGCTGGCCCTAAATTCACAAACTGCAGCACTTGTTCCAGGCATTTTCTTTGAAGATCCTCATGCAACTGCTTTGCCTTCTCACAAATGATTGACTCCACTACACTGTCTTTCACTAATTCTTTTTCCTTAATCCACAATAATAATAACTTTTTCATCTCTTCCATTATCGGTGTCCTTTGTTTAGTTAGAAAAGCTACTCCTTTTGCAACATTAGCATCTTTGATTTGTTGTTTCTTTACCAGGATGGATTTAATTGTTGATTTATTCTTGCTGTACATCCTGGCAAATTCCACCACCTTCATATCACTCTTAAATTTTTCTATCACTTCACGTTTAAATTCCATGGTGTTTCTCACTTTCTCTACCACAGGAACTTTACTAGGAACTTTCTTTGGAGCCATGGTTACATATTTCACAGTTGCACTGCAAGAAAAACCACTAAAAACAATGGTAAACAAGCGAAATGTTTGGATGTATGAGCAGAAGCTTCCTCAGCTACCGAGAGACAAAGCCAAACTGCCCCAGCCAGTGGATAGACGCATCCAAAATGGCCGATTACCGAGTGCCGAAAACCCCAGCGATAACCGAGTTGGCCGATAACCAAACTGGCCGATAACTGGGGGTCCACTGTATGCGTATGCGTGCATGTGTAGTGTGACCTAAATGTAAATAGAAGTAGCAAGATATACCTGTTATCCCATGTGTTTGAGACTGAAAAAAAGACACCAGCAGTCCTACTGTTGCGTAAAACAAATACAGGTTTCCATTTCACACTTGGCAGGATGGTAGTACCTCCCTGGGTGGTTGCTGTCTTCCAGCCTACTGCCTCCACTTACAGTAAATGTACACAAATAAAACTTTCACTTTTCATCCTCTCCCTCTCTTTCCTTCATCTGACTACTCCCTGCACTTTCTCCAATTTTTCCTCACCACTTTTACCCCATTTTTTTCTGTTGCGTTTTTTTTTAATGCTTATTTCTCCCTCACCTCTGCCTCTCTTCTTTTTCTCTTAATTTTCCCAACTTGTTTCTCTATTTCACTATTCTTTTACACTCCTTCCCCCTCTCTTTCTCTTCCTTACTCATTTTTTTTCCTGCATTCTTTCTCTTGCTCATTTGCTTCCTCACATTTTCCCCTCACCACTGCCTCCCTTCTTTTTCTCTTAATTTTCCCAACTTGTTTATCTCTCTCACTATTTTTTACACTCCTTCCTTTTCTCTTTCTCTTCCCCACTCTGCCTACCTTCTTTTTCTCTTAATTTTCCTAACTTGTTTCTCTATTTCACTATTCTTTTACACTCCTTCCTCCTCTCTTCCTCTTCCCTACTCATTTTTTTCCTGCATTCTTTCTCTTGCTCATTTGCTTCCTCACATTTTTCCCTCACAACCCAGGAGTCCAAAGGCCTGTTATCCTGGGTGTAAAGGGAGCTAAATAAACATAACAGACAAATCTTTTGACTTATATTATCCTTCACCAAGTAAGAACAGAATTATGTACACTATGTACAACAATAGGTATTAGTGCACTCCACGGTAAGCAAGGCAGAATAGAAGCTCCTAGAGAGCAGACCATGCTTCAACCAGTTCTAGAATGGGAATGACAAGGGCAGACAGGTGTGTGGTACCCACAACACCTCTGTGATTACCAAAACCATCTTCTCATTGGCTGGAACCTGGATACTGATTGAACAGTGGGGCCCCATTGTCAATCCTTAGCACCTGGTTTGCTGGAGATAGCCTTTCAGTGAGGGTGTATACATGCGCCGAATAAAGGGTACATACTCTTTGCATGCCACACTCTTAATTTTCCCAACTTGTTTCTTGCTTTCACTATTCTTTTACACTCCTTCCTCCTCTCTTCCTCTTCCCTACTCATTTTTTCCTGCATTCTTTCTCTTGCTCATTTGCTTCCTCACATTTTCCCCTCACTATTTGCCACCTCTATTTTTTCCATTCCCACTCATTTGCCATTGCCCATTCTTTCCTTTCTCCTGGCACTTGTTACACTCAATTTTTCTTCTTCCCACTCATTTGCTACTCCCCTCTTTATGGTTTTGTTACTCCCATTCTTCCATTCTGAGTAGTGTTTATTGTAAGAAGTCAGGTGTGGGAGGTATGGTAGCCCTCCTGGCCACCTCACCCACACATAATATACTATGACATTTAAAACGCCCTAGAGTGGTAAAATGCACATACAGTACACTCATTACTTATCTTAAAATAATTGTAATCTTAACACTTGAATGGTCCAAACATAAATATACGTTCTTACACGTAGCGCCCTAAACGTATATACAGTGGACCCCCGGTATTCGATGGCATTGGTATTCGATGCATTATCTCGCAAAAAATTTGCCTCGGTATTCAATTGAAAACCCAGTATTCAATACGATTCGTACGAGACGTCTCCACGTGTGGCCTGAACTGCCCCGTGTGTGCCAGTGTTTACAAGCCAGCCAGTGTGCGCGCATCTTAGGATACATTCGGTACATTCCATATTATCCATATTATCACTGTGTTTGGTGCTTGTTTCTGCAAAATAAGTCACTATGGGCCCCAAGAAAGCTTCTAGTGCCAA